ATATAGCAATAGCAGTTAGCAGTTAGACTTATATACCGCTTCATAGGGCTTTCAGCCCTCTCTAAGCGGTTTACAGAGTCAGCATATTGCCCCCAACAACAATCTGGGTCCTCTCCTCAACAGTATGAAGACAGTTTCCAAGGGAAAGCTCTCAACTCCATCTCAAAATACCCCTCACGGGGCTCAATCCAAACCTGCAAGAATAAAAGCAGTGGGACACCCCCATCTCCACTGAGCTGCTGTTCTCAGAGAGAGTTTTCAGCCCCGCTCCAGCGCGAGGACTTTTCTTGGCCAAAACGGCCACCTTACCTTCTGGGATCCAGATATGGAACCCTTCAGAGAAGTACGTTGGAAGGAACTGCTCATCCTTCGGACAGAGCCGCTGAGTTTCCCTCCCGGCCCCTTCTTGGTTCCTAAGCCTTTGGCCTCCATGGCTGGCTAGTTTTTACCAACCCAGCCAAGGCCGGACCTCATTCAGACATAGCTCCTGTTGGAGTTGTCTGAAGCCAGTTTAGAAGACGCTTCATCCCGACGGAAGCCATAGGAGGCGAATGTCTCTCCTTGCTAGAAATCTGAGCGATCCCAAGCCAAGTAAATCAGGAATATGAGACAAAGACGGGCATAAATCTATGTTTCTACCCCCTCCGATAACTCCCCCCCTCCAGATTTTCTATAATCGGGGCTTAATGCACCCTCCCTGCCCCATTCAATGGTTTCCAGTGGAGAGAGATTTAATAAATGGTGATTGAAGGTAAATCTACTTTAAAAAGCATCAGTTCCAAAGGATTTTTATCCCAACACAAGCACTCAACTGAACATCATCTGGTGCTGCCGAGCTGAAAGGCAGAAGAGAAAAGGCAGATGGCTCACAGAGGACTAGAAGCTTAGGGGCGAATGCCAAGAGAGGGGTGAGGGAAAGGAAGGAGATTAGCAAGGTCCTTTGAGATAAGGAAGGTCCAAGCTGACTTTCCAACCCACCCACCCACCCCCCAAAAAAAGCAAGGATCGGTTTGATTCAGATGATTCCGAAGGGATCGTGCTGAGCCTAAACCCCAAGGATACTTGAGGAGCAACATGGTTAGAATGTGGCCATGAGCTACAAGTCAGGGAAAAGGGTTTCGATGGGCGGAAGGATGGTTGCAATGTTGACATCAGGAACAAGCCTTCGGATTCGGCTTCCCTCGCCGTCTTTCCTCCTCATTTGAGGTGATTTCTAAATAATTATTTCAGCCCTGCTGTCCATGTGTCCCACTCCAAATATTTATGTCTGAATGCCTAGCAAGCTATGCGTGTCCTACCACGAACGCCAAGAATAATACACACCAACCCTCGCTCTCTTGGCCTCTCCCCTCTGCCTCTTCTCCTGCAGATGGGAACCAGCAACTCGTTTTGCACCCAAGATGAAGTCAAATACTTAAGACTTGGAGAAAAAAGTCTTCTTCCGTAAATGGCTTCGCTTTTATTCAGATCGAACATTTGATCTGAGAAATGTTTCTTCTCCCCTGCGAGTTTTCTTGACGTCAGAAAAGTGTTCCAGATTGAATGAGGTATTCTTGTACATCCATGTTCATTGACCGGGGGGTGGGGGGAGCATTATATTTGTTTGTTTGGTATCCTCTAGGAACAGGGACGTGGTGGCTCAGTGGCTAAGACGCTGAGCTTGTCGATCAGAAAGGCCGGCAGTTCAGCGGTTCAAATCCCTA